TGGATGTCGAGATGTTGAAAAAGTTACGGTCACGCTTGTTTAAATATCAAAAAGCATTTCGAAGTTATCGGATGCTAACATTAATAGATAGCAATTGACATAATCATTATTAATTAGAATTAAATCGATAAAATCAAGACGAATAAAAAAAAAGGCTCTACCAAGGATGGATGGATTATTGTGTCTATTTTCAGCCATCCAATAGTCAATTTCTGGAAATGCCAATATCTTCACTGTCTGGAATATTATGTTGAGTAATTTCCGGGGCTTCAGTACATTTATGATACCAATGAGCTACCCAAGCGGCTGATGACATTAAAATGACAGAGATCGATGACAAAGGAATCAGATACAGCACCGAGGTAAAGACAATATGATAAGTAAACTAAAAGCTCCGAAAATGAATTAAATAAAACAATCAGATAGGATTTCAAACTTACTACCACGCTAAAATAGATTATAAGCAATTTTAACATTGTAAATTTTTTCCTAATCAGAAAGTCAAATTCGTTGACACCCATGCATAATAATGTGTTAACGAAAATAATGCCATCTAGCCCTATAATAAAAGAATTGCATTAATACAATATAATTAAGATAAAGGGAATATAAATATATTTTTTAATTTACCATTCGAAGTTCTGGTACTTTCATTTGTAATACTTAAAATTCCAATGCTAACTGGTCAAAGATTACAGCTTTATTGCAGTACAATTTCAAACTGAACCTAGCACATCGCCACCACTGTTAATATCAACTCCCTTAACATCCAATGTCTAAAATTTCTATTGCAGGAATTTCTCAAATAATTTTAGATTCTTTTTACTGTATGAGTTAATTTCATGAAGTACAGCGACCAATAGGTGAATATTTTGACGATCCAGTGGACAAGCAGGATCTGCATAAAAATGATTTAATGTAATTATATCAATCTTCAGGATAATACTGTTAACAAATCATTAAGTACATCATCATTTCTAATGCTACTCCATAATACAATCTTTGCTTGAAGACCGGATGCGATGGTCCTAGTAGTTTGTAACAGTTCTTGAGTACTAGTGTTATGACTGAGGGAGTATAAAATCGTTTCTTTCGTAAGGTACACGATTAACATTATTCTTAAATGTTTTAATCTTTATCCACCTATAAATAAGCAAGTTAGAACCGCGATAATTATCAAAACACGCAAATAATAATTCACGGTTAAATCTTTACACACCTTGAGAATTTTTTGGTGGTTGAGGTTGTACAATGTCAGTGGACAAAGGTGTTTCTTCATCAACTATTACGATGATTCAAGATAAAAAAGTCCGAAACAGTTTGTGTTCATAATGCTAATAAGAAATTGATGGGCGCCAATTCCGCCAATTGATGTTAGCTACATGATATGATCACCTGCGGTCCTGAATTATATATTGTTTATGACCAAGAACCCAAAGGTGAATATCTTCGAAATAATGATCAGATTGCACGTCCAAATGATTGGAAATATCATTCTCGAATTCAGATTATGTGAAATCTTCGAACCTTTCATTAACCGTTAACATGATGAATTTGGTAAGGAACATAGGCACTAACGTTTTGATTGAAATTGATACCCCACGATTATTAGAATTGAAAAATCGTCAATATAACTTTAGACTTTTGCGTACTAATATATAAATTATTGGTAAATTTAATCAATTGAATATACTAACCAATTATAATAATTAACGGCAGCTTTAATAATATGATAGAGCTATCCTTAAAGATACGCGACACTAGTTTCATGTATTTAAAATTGATCAAATTTATTAAATACACCTTACAAAATAATAATAATAAAAATAATAATAAAAACAAGCACACACCATGCAGTTACTAGACGCGACACGAGCAACTGATCCTGATAAAGTACCAAACATATATCATTTTCCCGCTATCATTTCTGATTGTGACTTGTACCAGGATGGCGACGAAGGAACATTGGAATTTAATTTTCAAAAAAAGCTGTAACTTCTTGCATCAATTGAATTTTTTCCTTAGCACCTTGTAATAAGCTAATTGACCAGACCAATAATTATGGTTCTGAAAAGCTGTGGATGAGAAGAATCAGTTGATGAGGAGATTCCAATATAAGATTTATTAAGTAGAGTATTACGATACTTTACCTTTTTAAATACCCGATTCTACGAGTTAACATTATTAGTTTCAAGATTCTTAGTCTTTCAGCAATTGGAATAAGCGATAGAAATATATCAAATTCTTGAGGAGTACTATAATGCAATAAAGCAAAACCAATGGATCTTAAAGATATAAAAATCGTCCAATTGACTTTTTAGCATGAAAATATTTATTTAAAACTAAATTATACAAAGTTCTAAATTAAAGAAATATGTAAAAAAAAAAAAAAAAAAAAAAAATCATGAAAATTAGCATTTATTCCATTACCTTTATGTCAATATTTTCCAGTCAAAATAGCTTGCAACACTTGCTTAATAACTCGATCAGCAAAGGGAACATTAGCTCTATAATTTACAAACAAGTATTGTGAAGGCACGAATTAACTAAAGGTCAAAATTACCAATCACATGGGGTTGAATTTGGTTTGACGTTTGTTAAACGCGAGTTTTTTATATCAGATGTCACGCGCGTAGAGGTTAAAATTAACTTAGGCCAGTACCATAAATTTGGCAAGAGTTAGCAAATATTTTGCAAATAGCAATAATTTTATTTCTGACCGAAAATTGAATTTCGATTGGAATTATAAAAAAATTATTTTAATCAGTTAACATGTTACGTTTTTAACCAGTTAATTAACCAGTTAAAATTCAACAATTCCAATCGCTAGATATAGATTAATACTTGAATTGATAACTATGATCTTTTTAATATTACCAACACCTTTTTTACCTTTACATAACCTTATATAATTTGTTATCATTTATTATATACAGTTTTGTTCATTTTTACTATGTATTCTAAGAACTTAGAATTTTTTTAGTGTAAAAATTCTATTCTCATCTTATTTGTTATATGATCAAATTAAGTAATATTAGTTAAAAAAATCACAGAAATGAAAAAGTATTTGTAATACTAGGATAATTATAACTAGAGCATTAAAAAAGATTAAATAATTGATTAAAAATGTTCTCAAGCATCTTCTTTAATAAGATTGTCTGGTTATGTTATTATGCTCAAGTATCACAATCAATAATAAAATCAATAGAATTATATAAACTTAAGCATGCATTTTTATCAATCTACATTAAAATTTTTTTTTCTAATAATTTTCATCATGCCTAATAAGAAATAAAAATCTTTCAAATCCAACTTTTAATACCATTCCTTTTAATGATTTTATGAACTTGTAACTTTTGTTATAACAGAACTATCAAGATTTAATGAAACTGATATACATTAACAAGAAAAGTAAATATTTATTTTTTTACTTTAATATTTGTAATATTTATCATTTGAGCATACTCTATTAATTGTAAATCATTTAAAAAAAGGTGATTTGTAACTTTCTAAATGTTTATTGAAATAAAAATTCTATAATACTTTTTTAACCAATCAGATTATATATTGACCTATTAATTGAAGTGCTTAAATGCTTTAAATCAATCAATTTTTTGATTACAAACTTTTAGATTCAATTAAAATTAAATTAATTTTAATTGATTATATCAATTTTTAATTAATAATTACATATTTAATTAATTTACATAAAAGATATTCTAATAAATTTTTTTTTATTAATATGTAATATCTGAAGATTAAGCTATAGGTGTTCTATTAATATAATATATTTTATTCTATTTTAGAAAATTTTTAGATCTCTGATATATTTATAGAAGTATCAGCAACTTGCCTAAAATTATATCCTTATACAGTTGCCACTTAGATTTAAATATTTGAAATAACTATACTTATAATAATAGGTTTACTAGATCTTATTAAGTATCATTAACCACTAGATAGAGGAATCATTTCAATTATAAAACTTTTTACATCTTATTTTTACCATAACTCTACCAAAAATTACAATCTTTACCTATTATCAAGTAGGTTTAATAATAAATAATCTTATAAAACTTATATTTTAAGAGTTACCATTTTTATATAGAACTATAAAAATGATAATTATTATATTCATATTATTAAATTCATTTGAAAATTAAACTTAGCCTCTATCCTAGTGATAGCTCAATTTGAATGATACTATAACATATAATGTAGTTATTATCATAGTTATTAGAAAATAGTATTTAAATTTTTTAATTACTAATTAATTACTTTATTTATATAAAAATCTCTATTATTTGAAGATGTAAAATAGAATTTATTAATGAAGGTCAAGTTTTTGTCAACCTCTGGTTCATTTATATCTACTTATTTTTTAAAACTAGTATTTAGGTATAATTAACATTGATTGATAAATTAATTGATTAGATATTAATGTATATTAATCTATATGCTCTTGTATTTAGTTATAATGAAAATCTTATAATCATCATATAATTTTATACTTTAGTTAAAGCTTGAACCTAAGGTTTTTACAATATAATTTAATAAATAATAATTTGTTAATTACTAAATTCTATAATTTATGTTATATATATAAAAGAATTTTACTATTAATTATTGATAATGTTTATCATTAGTATCACACATTTTCTTTTTGAATATTTATATAATCTAATTTAAATTTTATCAAAATTAAATTGTCTTTTAGTATTATATAATATCACTAAATTTTTTAAAAAAGTATTTTAATCTACATTATAAATTTTAATTAAAATTAGAAATGAATATGATTTTACAAAATTTTTAAGTTTTTAAAATATATAGTAAAAATGAATGTAATATGAAGTAATAAATTATTTATATAACTATCTTAGTATTATCACTAAGTTTTCACTCTTATATAATTTTTGACTAACATTATAGCATTAAGAAATTAATTATATAATAAATAAAAAATGATAAATATGATTTTGCATTCTGAAAAAAATTTAAATTTTCAGATATGTTTATTACATATTATTTTTTTATTTATTAATATTTACTTTAATAAATACATAATTTTAAAAATCAGTAAAAATTTAATCAAAAATCTATAAAAAATATTGGATTTTCTTTAATACTGATTCTGTATTATTTCATAATATAAAAATACAAAATGTAAAAAAATTTATGATACTTATAAAAATAGAAAATATAAAAGGTATTATATAGAGTAATAAATATTTCTATAATCATGTAGAAATAAAAATTTAAAAATAATACTGAAAAAGTTTTATTTATATATTAAAATTATATGATACTATTAATGTGTAATTCTTATGAACTATGACTGTTAGATAAGGTGTTCAAGTGGTTTATTCTTTTTAATTGAGCAGTAATCTTTCAACAGTTAACAAATTTTATCCTAAGCTGATTCTCAAAAGTGTTTGTATTATTATGATGAGCAGTAATTCAACAGATTACCAATGATTTAGATTTGTAAAATAAGATGTTTATTCATGAGTATAATAATAAAAGTAAAAAAAAAGAAATAAAAAGAAATAAGAAAATAGAATAAGAGAAGAAAAGAAACAAATTACTGAAACAAAAATGTAACGCAGTAGACCAGTTGCTTCTAAATTACTAAAATTAACTTGTTGAGTTCATATCTGTCTGTTTTTTTTATATGAACTAAAAAGTTATTTATTTATATAAAATAAATTACATAGAGAGATATAACTAATATATCTACTATATCAACTATGTCAACTACAGTCAACTCTTTCTACAATGAATTTTGATATAACGAATTTTACAATACAACGGATTTTCAGTGTTGGACAGATTTTTAAATATAAAAAAACCCTTA